ATTGGGGCTTGTTTTTATGGTGGGGATTGAATTGTACGGACGCCCCTTTTTTCCCTCTCTCTCTCTTTCCAGACGCGTGCTTCTGTTTCTTCTTTCTCTTCGACGTGAGTAATTTATTCGATAACATCAATTTCCAAATTTATTATTCTTTTATCTTTTCTTACTACAGCAGTTTAGAAATAGAAAATACTTTGTTTCACTGATGAGGAGTCATTTTGTCTTTTATCATCTTTAAATATTTGACAATCCATCATTTTCTAAAAATACTTTTTGTTTTTGCATTTCGTTAAAGATTCTGGATGAAAATGTCATAATTTTCTACCATTCAAATCCTCTTTATTTAAGGAATTTAAAATGGAAGATATCTCGGCTTATGATTAAATAAGATATCCTATATTAATGGTAAAGGTATGTTCACAACACTATTCTTAAATATTGATGCGAACTTGGCGTAATCCAAGAGACCAAATTTCTGCATCAACATATTCCTACTTAGAGGAGCCATCTATTTTTCGTTAGAAATATATGAGATCAAACTTCCAACCTCCAATGAAAAAATACATATCAATGAATTATGCTCATGTTGGCTATTATTCACTTGATTAATCTACATTCGAGTTCAAATTCTATTTTCCTCCCTAATTGCTATAAATTTGTATTAAAGAACTTTCATTGGTATACATAATTTGTGTTAAATTYTACGTACATAGTTTAAATTGAAATAGACCTTTAGAAAGCAAGGACTAAGATGAACAAAAGTGAAAAGTAGTACCAAAATGGTATTTAAAACTATAAAATATAAATTTATTGGGGTTTTTAATCTAACAATTGAAATGTCAAAGTTTTTGTTAGAGGTAAAAGTGTAATTTAAAAAATATGTAGTAAGTTAATAGATGTATTTGGTATAGATATGTGTGAAATTAACACACTAGAAAAGTTGATATTGTGTGTCTTGCTTTATCCATAAAAATTAGAAAGTTGGTTTAAGTAAAGTTTATTGAGTTTTATATTTATAGGAAAAGGAGAGAAAAGAAAGAAAATGGGTTTGGAAAATGAGGAAAAAGGAGAGGGAGAGGGAGAGGGAGGGGCAGTCAGCGGTCAAAGTTGGGACTATAACAGAATCTCCAATTCGCTGAGTCATACAATTTAACTGCCTATACTTCTGACCCTGGGTGGGACCCACATACTTCCTCTTTTTCTTTTCTTTTTATTTAAATTAATTTGTTGGGGCCTGTTTGTTGAGATTTGGTTAATTTTTTCAACTTCTTGTTTGCTATTTTCTTCTTTTTTTAATTCGGTTAACCATAACTGTTTCTTGTTTTTCTTTTTTTTTTATTAGAATTTGAAAAAAAAAAATGGATAACTATCTTTCTGTTTCTTCCTCTCTAAATTTTTAAATTAAAAAATTTCAGATGGAAATCAAAATTTTAAATTAAACTTTCAAACTTTGTATGTTATATTGATTATGCATTTTATGGGCTGAAAATTATAAAGATAGTTATTTTTATATATTTTGGGGAAAAATTGGAATTATGAACCAAAAAAAAAAACTTGACTTTGTTGCTTTCATATTTCTATACAATTTTGGAAACATTTTTTGAAAAATGATAAACGATAACATGAATAATTAACAAACCCTATATTTCTAAAAAATTGGAATTATGAAAGAAACAATAAATAAAAAATGGGAATGTTACCAAATGGTAGCTTCTCATTTATGTTTATTGTTTCTAATTTTTCTAGGAATATAAATGTTCATTCGATTCTCATTTTTAATAATTGTTTCCAAAATTTTATTGAAACTTTTGAAACAGTAAAATTAAATTTCTTGTTTTTTATTGCTATTTCGTTTTTGTTTAAAACATATTTAAAATTAGTATTTCATCTTTTTACTTTATTTTAAAATTATATAAAAAAATCAAAATAAGTATAACTTAAAAATTTTGAAAAAATTTAATTTCATATAAAACTCTAATACACGTACCACATCACCATTAGGTTAATAGTATAAAAATGAGAGTGATAAAATTGGATAAAAGTGTAGCTGAAATTTAGAAACAGCTAAAAAAATTATTTTTTTTTTCTTTTTTGTTGCTAAAGATACAGAAGAGTCCATAATATTTTAGGTAAACTTTCAACAATGTTTTAAATCCCCAGTTCTTAAAATAAATAAAAAAAATCGTCAAAAAAATGTAAACACTGTCTTTAATTAGTGTCTTATTAACATACTCAAATATATGAAATAGCTAACAAAATCTACTGCCCACACATTAATAAAATTAAGCATGCATATCAATAAAATTCATTTTTCTTTTTTTTAATTAGTATGACTACGTGTTTAAATATATTAAGGAAATAATAATTTAATAACACAAAAATTTTAATTGTATTTCAATTGTCATACAAAATTGAAATTGGAAGTGGAAAATGAGGGAAAGGGAGAGAAACGACGCCGTAACGCTTTTACCAAAAACGCCAAGAGGGTTATAAGAAAAACAAAGGACAGAACTGAATAAAAACGAAAGAAAGAAAAATCCCTGATGCCGACAAGCCGACACTGAACGACTGAAACGCCGTCGTTTGACGGTCAGCCTGTCCCCTGTCGTTTTCTTCTTTTGTCCTTCTCGGCGATCGTGACGCCGTCAGATTCTGCCTTCTCTCTCTCTCTCTCTCTTCAACCGTTAACTTTTTTCCTTCCACCCGAAACTTTTATTAATTGCACATTAGCCCGCTCCTTTTACTTTGTTCCCAAACACGGCCAGAAATAGAGCCAGTTGAGTATGTAGGTCACACCTATTTCTGGTAAAATTCAGTTACTTTTGTTTATTTAATAATAATAAAGAAAAAATATAAAATAATTTGAATTGACTTGTTTGTTGGTACAAAAATTCCAATAGAAAAGTATTAAAGTATAAAATCAAATTAAATGGAAATTGCTTACCCTCGCTTTAGACCTGCAAATTTACGAGGATTTACATATTATAATGATTTTGAAATTATTTTAAGTGTCTAGTATGAACTAAAAATATAGAATTTTAAAACTCATTTTGTCCCCTAAATATGTTCCGTTAATAATAGGTTGTAGTTGACAAGCTAATGAAAGTTTACTACTTTACCTCATCGTAATTTTACTTTGACGTGGGATTGATTTATCAATTCAAAGGAACCAACCGAATAGAAAAAAAAAAATGATGCCCTGACAAATGAGTTACGATCTTGAGAGGATATATTTACATTTAAAATAAAATAGACTTTATAATAGTTCATAATAAACATGTGACCCATAAATATAATATTGATACGTTAACTCGTTGGAATGAAAGAAATGAAAGTAGGTTTACTTCTTTAATATATAATAATAATAATAATAATAATATAAAAGAAAAGAAGGAGGAAGGATGATATTATTAGGTTTTTTTAAGAATTATTTATAATTATAAGGGTATAATGGTAAATGAGCTACCTTCTTTTCCTTTCCTCTAAGCCTTCAAATACATTATTATTATTTTACTGGTTTTAGAAACCATTAAAATTTGTTGAGTTCCAAACAAAGTTAGGAATTTGAAATTATTTTAATATTTTTAGATCCTGAGATTTAAAATAATTTCCTGCCCAACAAAATATTGGGCCTTGATTAGATTATGGGCTAAGCCCAAGGGGTAGCGTAATTGGGCCGACTATCTACTAACTAGATGAGGCCAATCCACAAAAAATTGGATATTGGACCTATGGGCCAAGAATTTTGGTGGGAGTTAATATATTTATTATTTAATCAATTTTACACAACTATTTAAAATTACCACAATTTGTTGTACTTAAAAAATTAGTTTTTTCTTGTCTAATAAAAAAAATGGGAGGGTAGCGAATTGAAAACATTTCAAACGGTAATATATTATATCGGTTGTGAGTTCGATCCCTACTCTCATACTCCCACATGTTTTAAATAAAAAATGTGAAGGTAAAGATTTAAACCTCCAACATTTAAAGAAAAGAAATAGATACATTAACACCTAAATTATGCTTATGTTAGTCACTTTACCATCAACTCAAACATAACAGCACTAATTAAACTAAATTTAAATATTTAAATAGATATACATTTAGAGTGAATGATCTCCTTGAATCAAAATATATAGTATTTTTCAAAATTTTAAGAGTAAATATATAATATTTTAACTCATGAATCAACCTAACCCAAAAGATAATTAAGTCATTGGAAAATGACATAATTAATTAATATACAATTTATACAAAAGAAAAAAGGGGCAAATGATTCACGTCTGAAATTAAAACATACATGATAGAGCATCGACAATAGTAACTTCGAACTTTATTGAATCAACTGTCTTGAATGCAAAGCCCCTTTTTAAAAAGAACTAGAAATGGGTTTACCGAGACAGTGGAATATCCTGACTATATCCTAATCTCCACCCATTCTTTGCCCTGCCACCACTTCCTCATCAAAGACCAAGACCAAGTATTACCAATTCCCATCGAGAAAGCAAGCAATCTCCACTGGAGCGGGAATAACTAGAAAAGTAACCGTCAACTGGTTATCCAACTCGTTCGTACCTTTTGTAACCTCGTTGGCTTGGATTCGTCTCCGTCTCAACTCTCTTCCCTTCGCGTACTCGTATGTCCCCCTCCACTTTACTAATTGGTATGATGACCCGTAAGAGGAAGCAACATAGTCATATTAGCCAGAGCACCCTAAACCGGCAACAGCAAGACCAACCAACCAAAGAAAGAGGAATAGAAAACGGGACWATAAATGAATGATGTTAAATTGTCGATACGAGCATAACTCACCTGGTGGAACCATCTCTAAAGGAAAAGGAGAAAGGGGAAAAAAATCTTTAAAATATTAAAAGAAAAAGGAAAAATTAAAACGAAAAGGGAGTATGAAAAGTCAATGAAAAGTGGTGTCTAGGGCAAAAGTAAAGAATCCAAAAACGTGGTGAAAGCAATCCCACCAGCGGGAGCGGAGGGCGGCGAGTTTGTTCCGGAGGCGTTCCCAGAAGCTGACGAAGCAGCTTTCGTTGCGGCTGACGAGGATGGCCGCCGATTGGAGGTAGGCGGAGGCGGCGCGCTTGACGAGCTCATTCCGTATGGAGATGTTGGAGGAATTGAAGTCGTTGAAGTCGTTGACGCCGCTGTAGGAGGGGGAGTTCAGGAGGATGTCTTTGAGGCTGATGTAGCGGAGGTCGTCGCCGGCGTCGGAGTCGCGTGCGCCGGAGGAGTACCGGGACAGCTTGAAAGAAGGTATGTTCTGGAGCTTGTGGGATTCCGAAATGGTGTCCATGGCGATCCGAATTCGGATTCAGAGGGCCATTCCCATTCCTCGAAACCGAAATTTAATTCGGAGACGGGTAATTGGCTTATGGATCTGTTGCGTAGTTGAGGAGACTGGGGATTCTCATTTCTGGGTTCGTTTTCTGATTTAATTTTAGAGAGAGAAATTTTGGGAAATTGGGTTTGTTTAGTTTTTAGGGGAGCTTGGAAGTAGGACATTGACTCGCCCAATTAGTAAATATAAATTTTCCAATTCATATTTACTAATTTTTCTGTTGGTTTAAGCTTTAAAGTTGAACCAATACATTTACCTTTCAGTTTTAGCATCCCACAGAAATCACGGAAGGGCCTATAAAAATGGCAAATCCCCTCCCTACTTTTTTTTTTTTTGAGAAAGATCTAATTTCTTTTGTAATTTCGATATATATATAAAGACCCTACAACAATTCGGTTCCGTTTTGTTTCAGAATCTTTTGGTTGATTTTGGTTATGGTAGAGCCAACTTTGTAGTTTATGTACTTTCGGTTTTATAATTTTAAAGTGATTATTTTAGTTTTATCTGCAAAATTTTAATATTAATTTTAAACCCAATATAAACTATTTATATAAATTATGTTTAGAAAAAGTTTAGTAAGTGGAAAGTTATGTTAAAAATTGAAGAATGATGTCATTTTTAATGAACAGGATTAGTGTATAGGAGTCAAAATAAATGTTCGAAAGTATTAAAATGAATAAATATATAGATTAAAATAGTATTTAAACCAGCTTAATAAACAAACATTTTTCATCTTTTTTTCCTATTTTTTGGCAAAATGTTGTGAACCATTTTTGAATTTGAATTTACGGAAATATTAACAAATATATGTAGTATTTAATTAGTAGATAGTATTTGTTACACTTTAAGTTTTTAGTCAAAATTTATATGCTGCAAATACAAAAAGAAAATGAAGATCTCTTTTGAAGGTTTGAAATACATATTAAAAGAAACCCAACTACTTAACTCAACGTAGTCCACTCTCAAATGTCCATATTGGACGCTTTCAACAGTTAAATGTATGCATTAAGCATTGGAAAATATTAGGGTTTATAACAAAATTGCAATACACATTGGATATGTGTTAGATCTCTTCATTAGCATAACAAAGACAGTCCAAGAAACGCTTATGCTTTAATAAAAAAGGAGGCAAACTTTTGACTTCTGAAAGATCTTGATGAGAAAGTTAGATCATCGTGGTGTCTAAAAAACTCTAACCAGACAGGAAGTACTTTGTCAAAATCCAAACCTTATATAATGGTAACTTGCCTAACTGGAAGACCGAGCAATCGAAAACTTTCCGCTACATTCTGGAGAATTCGATGACGTGAGGAATCGCAAAGCCAAGTCGGCGACTGCAACAACTACTTCTTATTATTGTCAAAGACAATTATTCCGATGGTTTTAGCAGATTCCTCTTCTTTCTTCCAATAAATCCCAATGAGGTTGTATTGTAGGCACATCATGTTCAACAAGTTAACAAACAGAAACCTTCTTGCCCATGGCTCCAATCTGCTTACAGATTTCAAGCAATGTGCTCTGCCAAAGTAAGAATCTTTACGTGCTTTTTCTTCCTGAGTTCGTGAGGAACTGGACCGAACACTCTCGTCCCGATGGGCTGGCCTTGCTTATCAACAAGGACTACAGCATTATCATCAAACTTGACCTCACTCCCATCGCAGCGACCTTTTTGCATTGCAGCTCGCACAACCACTCCATATACAACCTTCCCTTTCTTCACTTTTCCATTAGGATGGGCTTCCTTCACTGATGCGACTATCGTGTCTCCGAGTCTTGCTCCTTTCTTTCCCTTCAAAGCTTGTATGCACATCACCTTTTTTGCCCCCGAGTTGTCCACTACTTTAAGCACAGTCCTCATCTGTATGAAAGTTCTTTGTTGCTGCAAAAGATAACAATACACAAGGTCAGCGCAGCTATAAATTGATCCTGACTCATAAGCGTACCAATATTTCCTCAAGATTTTATGCCACTCACAATGATTTTAGAATTTCAATATTATCTCTTCAAATAAATTTCAAACCGTGACAGTTATATAACACCACAAGCCTCATAACAAGTAAATGCCTCTTTTATAGCCCTACCCCATACTTGTTTTTTTAGATAGTAGCTATTGACAGAGGCACAAATCTCATCATGCATGTGATTATTCTACACATTTATTTTTTTCCTTTCAATTCTAATTTTTAGGATTGAAAGTTAGATGGGAAGATTAAAATTTCAGAGAATCAGACCTGCGAGATGAAACTACTGCATACTGTCTCCTGCGCTGTGCTCAATAAACCAGGCAGATTGTTTCCAAGTCCACCCAACAGTGAACGGCCCACTAGTTCAATTTTCAAGAAACAAAGAACCAACATGAGTTTCACGGCAGCTAGAAATTCAAAACTAAAGAATTAAGACAAATAACAGAGAGAACTGTCACAGTGAAGGAAATTTTACACCATGGTGTGCTCAAACGATCAGGTTCAGAGAGCAATAGTAAGAAAAAGGACTAAAAATTAACATGTTGCAAAATGTAAAATAATCCCACTTTCATACAGCTTACAGGTTCCAATGGATAGTTGACGATGACAGGAAATTAACATTACAGAGGCGTCTCTCTCTTTACACATATAAAAGGGGGAGAAGATCACACGTCTGAGTACAAGAGCGTGGCTGAAAACAAAGACACTACACAGGTTTAGGTCAAAGACGACTGACTATACAGAAGAGCCGGAGTAATACATGCCAAGTGTTATATGGCGCAACTTAGTTTTACTTTAGGAATTAACTGGGCCAAGCTTTTCCTTATGGATCATTTGTTCATGGAAGAGTTTCAAACGTTACGGTGAAGGAAAAACTTTGGAAGAAAGTTCTTCTCAATTGAAATCCATGCTGTGTTTAAGATTCAAATGTAGGATTCTAAGGATTCCTAGGAGAAGAATAATCATTTTCTGCGACTCTCAAAATTGTTCCATCAATCTTCCTCATGAGCTACCATGACAGGAATTCTTCTTGAAGGGATCCACAATGGTTTTATAAACATGTATATGCTGAAAAGCATTGTAAAAATAATATAACAACATCAAAACAAGAGCAATTACGGTTAAAGTGTAAACAAAGCAGTCTCTCGGCCAAAATTCCGGAACAAAATCAAATTATACACAAGCTTTGCTATCAATCGAAAGAATCATTAAACCTTTCATTTCCTAAGATAAATCAAGTGAAATTAAGGTCCAACACGAGTAGAAAACCCGAAAAGAAAAGGCAACAAAGCTTCTAGCTCCAAATCAAAGAACAAAGATGAAGAAAAATTCCAGCATCCACTTGAACTTTCAGAAAATTGCATACCGCGGGAACATTTGGAAGCAAAAGCAGCAGCCATATCTGAAGTTGGTCGGCCAAATCTAGGTTATGGAACCAGTGGGAGAGAGACGATCAGACGAAGCCGTATGGTGGCTCGGTTGCTGTTAGGGTTTGGACTGGGCCTGAAAATACTGGGTTTCCTAAGGATCCATCATCAAAATCGGCCCATGGGCCGGAAAAATTAATAGGGAATTTTGTTGTAAATATTTTTAGGTTTAAATAGTGTTGATTCTTATTTTTAAAATATTTATTTTAGTTTACTTTTGTTAATTTTAGGTCAATGTATTTTTAAAACGTCTTTTAAAAAGCGACCATGTTAGTCTATTTTTTATTGTTATTTTTATTTTTATCATGCATAATTGGTTTTATATATAACTTTTTTTTAGAAGACTTAATATATATTCTTTTTTAAATTGATAAAAAAAATTAGTAATTTATAATTGTGCCTTAACTAATTGAGTCGAGCATGTGTTTGATATTTTAAATGAGTATATATTTAAAAAAATTTGAAGTGATGGACTCAACTACTAAAAATGAGCTGGACAAGTTTTTTTTCTTCCTTTGCCATAAATATGGAGTTTATTAAAATTAGCAAGTGTTTATGTTTTTTAAAATGGAATTCAATATAATTTTTAAAGCCAAAATAGCTAAAATACTATTTTGGTACATATACTATTAATTTCCATTGATTTTAATCCATATGCTGTCAAAATATTTGTTTTAGTCTCTGTACTTTTAAAAAGTATCGATTTTAATTTTTATATGCAAAGTCTTATAGATAATAAACTTTTTTTAATATATAATTTTGACTACATTTAAATAAATATATAAAGACTACTACAGTATTTTAACCGAATTTTAAAATGTATATAATTCCATTATTTTGCATCACAATTTTTTTTCCGTCAATGGACTCATCTTTATTTCAAAAACTATTGTGAGTAATGATTACAATATCTCTAATTACATTTTAATTTTATTTAATTGGGTATGAAACTTTAATGTCGGTTGAAACGGATCGAATTCAATAGTATCAGTTCTGTTCGGTTTCGATTGAGTCACATTTAATCTCACTCGAACCGACCCGATTCGACTCAATTCAAGTCGGTTTTTCGGATCGGTTTGGTTTCTTTCATACCCCTAGATCTAAGACATGAATCTCATAATCATCGTAAGATTTAACAATGGTTTAATGGTCTATAATGATAGGTTAACCAAATCAATTAAAATATCACTTTGGTTTTACACTGTAAAAGTTAACACGATAAGTTGATCGTTTACCTTTTTCAAAACTCCTCTTCCAAAGATTAGAGAGGATTGTTTGCCTAGGTCATTGGTTAGACTTTTATAACACCGAGGGGTAAAAAACACAATCTACATTTTTGTTATATGAATTTGTTTATTTTATACTACAAGTCCCTACAGATATGAGTTCCTATCTCGACTACCTATCCAACCCGAATACTCTTATTCGTGGTGGAGTGCTTCAAGTAGGATGGATCCGATCCCATCCTAGCAGTCAAACTCCGTCCTGACCCGACTCACCTGCCTTTGAAGTTGGAATGCCTTTCTCGAAATAGAATAGAGGAGTCCCTCCGAAGAATCTAAAAGTTTGAAGTGGGACGTGGATACACCTGCTAAATAAACCCATAAATTCATATGTTAGGAATCACCAACTTTATAAATCAAAGTCAAAGTTTAATAATTTATTTAGCAATTGCATGTTAGGTTGGCTATGAGGGTTTTTTGACACGTTTTTTCTTCTCGTCGGAATTATAGGGCAAATTAAAGTTTCATGACTCAAATCTCAAATGTCAATAGATTTTTAATATTTTATAATAACTCGATGGAGATTGAAATGACTAAAACTAACCCAACTAACTAAAGAATAAAAATAAAGCAAATGAAATGAAATATTAGGGGTTTTCTTTTCTTGGAATAAAATATTTGAGATCTTAATATATTATTCACCAAACAAAGTTTGATAAACTTTTCCTTCATTTTTGGAAAATTGTTGATTCCATATCTCTCCACACCTAAAGAAATGAATAAGAAGAGTTAGGTAAGTGGGATTGTCTTTATTTTTTATCAGCTGTATTTCAAAACTAATTTGCCTTTTAAAGTCTTTTTTTCTCTTTACAAATTTAAAAGATCGAATAAAATAAAAATAAAAATAGAAAATAAACATATTGTCCGAGAAAAAATAAAGGACAAAGAATTCAAGATTTACCCCTAAATTTGATAAGATATATTAATTTCTAACCTAAGTTCTAGTTCAATGAAATTGTACTCTAAATTTGAAAAGGGTAGACAATATTTATATTAAACTTAAATAAGTATGGTAATTTCCACCTGCAACGGATTTCCATTTTAAGAATCGTTAAATAAAATATTCTCAAGTGAATTTAAGAAACTATAAAATATATATCCAGTACAAAACTGATAGAATTTCAGGAAAAAAAAACATCATTTAATTAATTTTGAAAGAGTTATTTAATGAACATAATTTTACACATTAACTTATTTTCATTGAAATTAGCTGAGTTTTGGAAAGATTTTTATATTAATTTTTGTTAAAATGAATAGATAAATGTGCGAAAATTTAAGATAAAAATTATAATACAATAAGCTTAGAAGTCAAATTTGAGAAAAATAAAATTTACGGTGAAAATGGATACACTTTATTAAATTTAAAGGCAGAACTTGCTTTTTATTAATAAAAAAAAATACATTTTTGATCTCTAAAATGTGTGTCATGATTTCTATTTAGTACTTGAATTTAAAAAGGCATCACTTTGGTTACTCATATTTAAATATAGTTTTTATTTCACCTTCAATTTGAATTTGATTTCTAATTAATTTATAAGGTTTGAGTTTGGCTTACAATTGCTCACTAAATTTAGTCGACCATTAGTTGATCTAACTCAAACTTGAAAAATGGGGAAAACTTACTCAAGTTCCTCTTGAATTCCTGTGTGATCCAATAACATATAGACAAATGTCTTTTTTAATTTTGTATAGTTCTTGTGTGGTCAACTTATCTACATGCTACTTGAAGTTTTGTCCGAAAAAAATTAAAATAAACAATTAAAATTTTAATTTCATACATCAAAGATCAACTACGTCACTTTGAAATTTTTAATCATCGGATTTAAACTAAATTTAAATTTTATAGATCAAATAGAAACAAAATCCACCTAAAAAAATATATTTTTTCTTTCATATTATTATTATTATTTTCAAAAAGGGAAAAAGAAAAAAGTTTGCGTGGGGAAGGGGGAAATGCGAGGGGTAGGGTCAGGTTGAGGATGACACGTGGTGGTGGGGTCCAAGTTTTGGCATTGAGAAGTGAGCCTATAAGCTATGGACACTGACACGTGCCTGTGCCTCGAGCGTGCCACCCTTGTAGGCCCCACCCCCATCATAAATCATAATCCAACCAGCCCCTCCTTTCCAATGTTCTCTCAACATTTCCCACAAACAAAAACATCTCAAACCTTATTATTATTATTTTTTCTAAATATAATGTCCAATTTTGTTTATCTCAGAACTTCAATTTTAATTTATGTATTTTTTAAGTGAGTATTTCGATCCATTCATTTTTACTTTTTCTTATTATGATTTGAATATGAAACTTCACTCACGGTAATCAGGGATGTCACTTTATTCTCTTTTTTAAAGGAGAGACAAGCTCCCTTTAACTATACAAGTCATTTTTTTTAAAGTATGAAGACTTAATTAAATATTTTGAAACTATAAGAATAAAAATAAATTAAAGCAAATAATATAAGAACTAAAATAGAATTAATTTTTTATGTAAATACTAGTTCGGTACTATATGGTTCAATTTAGTTCAATTTGGTCAATTTCAAATGTTCATTTTGGTTCATGTCTTTCCACTTTTGTTCATTTTAGCTCGTACTTTTGAAACGTCCATTTTGGTCAATTTATCATATTTTTAGTACGACATTTCACCCACAAAATTTATTGAAATGTAAACATAAAATTTATATTAAATGGTATAGCTTAGATATAAATCTTGTGTTAAAATTTTACAAATATGAACTATAAATTAGTCACTTTTTTTAAAATATAGAAATCAAAACAAATATTTTGAAGTACTGTGGCTAAAACAAATAAATATTAAAAATACAATAACGAAAATGAAAATTTTAAAAGTAAATGAACCAACATTGCATTTATGAAGGTAAATATTAATAATATCGTATACATTGTAAATATTAATGAAAATAATAGGAGTTTATAGAGTGTTGTTATTTCATAGCTTTTCACAAATAGGGTTAATAATTTGGATATGAACATTATTTCACTAGTAGAGATTTATGGATTTTATGTATAGTGTAAGATATCTACTTTGAGATTGGAGGTTGAACTTCTTGCTCCTATATTTATTGAACTATACAAAAATTACGGTTTTTATTTTTGAGTTGTATGTCAAAAAATTCCCTCTTCATTATTAGCGTAATATTTTCTTAAAAAGACTAATAATGTGAAAACAAAATTATTTCCCCCCGTACTTGAAAAAAATTACTATTCTTTGCTCGATGGATAAGTCTGGTTTGATAATTAATTTACTTTTTAGTTTTCTTTTAAAAACTGCTCATAAATAATATTTTTATTTTATCACATATATTTTCGAAATTTTAACTAAATAGTGATGAAATTTTAATAATAATAGAAACATGAGTTAAATTACAGTTGGGCCACTAAAGATTACAATAATGGTACTATGGTACGTAAAAGGAGGCTTTTCAGTTGAGTGTTGAATTTTAAATTTTTTTTTCAAGTTAAGAAAAATAAAAAAATAATAAAAAAAAGGAGTGGGTGCATTATAAAAATAGGAGAAAACATGGTGGGTTTGTGTGTGTATTATTTTAATGTCGGCTTCTTTTTAACCGGCAAGTGATTCGTTTTTGGTTTTCGTGTACACGCCCTCACTCACATCCATCTTATTCAAAAGCCAAGGATATTTTACCCTCAATTTTATAACCACTTTTTTTTTTCTTTTTTAACATATATATATATATATATATATAAATATATATATATATATATATATATACTTTGGTTAAATTACAAATTTAGCTTCGTAACTCGTTAAATTATATTTGTTGGTGCAAACTTTCGATAGGTAGGTCTCGTTGTTGTTCAGGTTGGGTACACGATGGACAGGGACTCGAGGTACAAAGTCGACAAAGAAACCTTGTATTGGTGTGACGATGTTACGTGATCTAATCAATATTTAGACCCAGATATATTAAGCTAAACAAGAATGTCCCGTACTTATACATGACGAACCTTAGAGTGTGATTCTATTGTGTTGTTAGTCTGTACATGCACCATGGACATTTTATTGCGTCGATTGTTGATCGTGACATTGGAGATAAGTTGTACATTGTATAAAGATATGTCGGGGTGGATCTCATCATGTAGTTTTCATTCATAAATCAGTGCTACTGAAGTGTGGAGTTAGGTGATCTCAGGTGTCCCTCCTCGATTGTTGTTGTCAGTGGGTCGGCCTGTGACAAACCTACACTTGGCGAGATTTTGGTTTTGAGGTAGTTCTACACCACCTTATGTTTAATACACATCCATGTGTGGACATGTATTTCTCAGCCCATAACACTATTTAATTGGGATGTTCCGACGAAGTCGGGATGCACTTGTCATCTTGTCCTCGTGAAGATATTTTATTCCAAGCCCTTGCCCATTCTCTATCATGTGTATTGGGGTCGAGGTGGGGGTTAAGGAATTTCTAACTAAACACTTTTTATAGTTAAAAAATTATTAATTAGACATATCATCGGCAGTGAAGATAGAGAGCTATTATACACTTTGAAAAAGTTCAATATGAATCTATTAAACACAATTCTGGAAGTTCAAAAACTAGACTTGTAATTTAACCTATATTTGTTTAACAATCAACATTTTATATTAAAAAAAAAAAGAACCAAAATGATATCTAACCAGCGTAATATGATATCTAACATTGTCTAAATACATTTATCGACAATCTTAACTAGAAAAGTGAAACGATATTAATTTAAATGAATTTCTTCGTTATGCCTAAATAAAAAATAAAAAATTGGCATTGGTTGATTAGTATTTTCAATTAGATTTTACGACATTTGGTAGTTAAATTTACTGTTTATAGACGAATATTGATATATAATATTACAAACAAGAGAGTTAAAGCATAATTTACCAAATATGGGAATCAAAGAAACACATCATTGGTCGTACGGACTGGAGGAGGCTTATCCTCATTTAACTATGGAATATCCCCATTTCCATTACTTTTAATTATAAATTAATTACGTCCTAACTAATTAAAAAGTCACTTTTAAAAATAAAATAACATAAATACCCTTTTTCCTCCATGGACACCATGAAGTTTAATGTTCCCCTCCAATTAAACCCCCCATTTGGCTCGTAATTACGATGCCACCACTGAATAACTTTTAACCAAACAACCACCATTCATGTGGCTGATCTAAGCATAATTTAATAGATCAACACTAATTACTTTCTTTAAAATTCAAACTTCAATCTCTACCTCACAATAATTGAACTAAAACAAAAATAATTAATGTCTAACTTATTACAGTATAATATATTCCTTAATCAATTGAACTATACTCGGATTGAAAGCACTCAATCTTTTATGACCATATCGTATGCACAAAAGTATACAAAGGACAAAGCAAAAAAAGGAAGAAAAAGGGGCAATTGCTCATTCCTTAATTTATTGCAACTCTTTGTTCGACAACCTCTATTTTTAGATGATGTATATAAAATGTTATAATGCAAAATTCTAGCGGGATTGAAAGATAAAAAGTCTAACGGCTCAAAGCTCATAATTTTTTTTAATGATGGTGATGATTATAATGATAAAAGATAGAAATCTAAAAATTATTGTCCTGATCAAATCTGATCACCTTATTTATGGACAATGGAAAAGAAACAGTCACGTTGTTATCACATGGTTCAAAACTTCAATTCTTAGAAAAAATAGACAATGTTTCTATCTCTGTATTGATTGAAAATGGAAAAAATAGAAATGAGTCAGCACTCATTTTTCAGAGTCAACATTATTTATAATTGTTGAACTGAAAAAATACATATTTCATTAAAATAAAAACCAACTAAATTCTAAATTCATATAAAAAATGAATAGTGTAATTAAATTATTAACTTTGGCTAAATCTGACAAATATTCCGTAAACAAGTTTTCACCCACCAAAAAATTCGTATAGAAACACTGATTCATTGCATATAAATTAAAAATGGGACATAAGACGAGAATAATAATTATGAGAACGAAATTGAAACTTTTAAAGGTAAAGTAAATTAAATAATTTGCTTGGATATTTTGGTAAAGTAAATTATCTTTTGTTAATGTTTTATGAAAAAAAGATAAGATTAAAAAAATAGTGAAAAAAAATGCAGAAGAAGGGGACGCATATTTAAAGCAGGGAACGGCGGAGTGTCGGAGCTTTTCCGATAAGCGCGGCGGCCTGCTCCGACCTGCAAACAAAAAGAAAAGAGAGGAAAAATAAAAGGTTTATTATTCCTTCTCCTCCTTTTTTTCTGTTCTTCAGTTTTTCATTCTCTCTGAAATTTTTTTTTCCCGCCGTGCTTCTTCAGCTATCTTTCCGAACAGTAGAATCGATCGTTTTGTTTTACAAGGAGTACTTGAATTAGTGAAGGCGTTATCTCTTTCTCTGTGAAATTTCTCTGTCTGTATTTCGGTTAGGGTGAGAATTAATCATCTGAACTTGGAGCTTAGTAATTTCGGCTTCTTTTTAAGTACGTGATGTAATTTACAATTTCGTCTTACTCGCAGTTGCAGGAAGCACGCCAGTGCTCGAGATCGAGCTATTTGCAGGCTTTTTCTTTACGTTTTTGCATTTTCCTCGAGGTATATACTGTGTAGAGAACGATGACCTACAAGAATTTAACTCGGAATGGAACTCCGTTTTGTTTAATTTCGGTTCGATGATTGTATAACCATTTTTTGTTTGATTCCGGTGGCTTTGCTGAATTTGTTTTTCCACTGGAATTTTTCAGTGATTTGAACGTTGCGAGTTAAGCTCCGCTGAAAAAATTGCAGATCTGCAAAGTTTTTCTATGAAATTAGGTGATTTGAGTTAATATAAAATAGATGCAAAATCTAGGTTTAGCTCTTGCCTCTCAGAGGTAAACACCTGTCACCCGCATAATTGATGTATGCTCCCCGGACCCAACATTGTCCGAAGCTTGATAAATTTAATACTTTCTTTTTTGTGCTTGTGTGGATAATTTGGAAACATGAATCTGTTAGTTTTTATTTTTATTTTTTTAATTTTAAATCCTTCTCACGAGTTGGCGTGTTAATGAAAGTGTCTGCCATTTTAGGACCAGAGATGAAGCTTTAAATACTGCGCAAGGCGGTCTCGTTAGCTCAGATCCGTGAGTTCTTCGTCTCTATTTTCTCTACTTTTTTTTTTCTTTCAAATGTTTTCCAAGCTCTGAAACAGAGAGAGAAAAAGGCTGAGATTAAGATGAGGTTTGCAGGCTTGAGGAGGTCTGAGATAACCAGAGGTCTTTGCCTTAGGAGAGCACACAATTTCTGCAACTTTTGAAAGTTTTGAACGGAAAGAGCCGCCTGCTGTGCCTGTGCTGACTATAGATTGTGATATATCAAAGGGTAAAAGAAGGCCTTTTTATTACTAATCCAGACAGCACAAAGTAGTACTCTCTGAATTATCGTCATCAATATGTACAGAATGCAACCACCCCCCCACCTGCTGCACTTCATCATCTGCACCTCTTATTTACATCTCTAGAAAACCTGCACAAATCAACCTCTCCCACTCTCTCTCTGTGTGCAGAGGTTAAAAAAAAAGAAAAAGAAAAGAGCATCTGTCGTAGGTCAAAGGGGGTCTCCGTAATTAAGGAATGAAAGTGTTATGGAGGTGGTGGATAATATTCAAGAACAACCGCGAAAGTTCTCAAGGCTAGCAAATGGCAGAAGTAGCGACCCCAATAAGATAGGATTAAAAGGGGTTGAAAACATTGGCCCGGAAGATGGAGAAGACACAGAATCCAAAAGGGTTGTTGGTGGTAGCGGCGCTGGAGGTGGAGCTGATGATGATGCTAATCGGCTTCGTGGGTGGCACCACTCCCGGATTATTAGGGTTTCTCGCGCTTCCGGCGGGAAGGACAGGCATAGCAAGGTATGGACTTCAAAGGGGTTAAGAGACCGAAGGGTTCGGTTATCGGTTGCGACGGCGATTCAGTTCTACGATCTTCAAGATCGGTTAGGTTTTGAGCAGCCAAGCAAGGCCGTCGAGTGGCTGATTAAAGCTGCTGCAGACGCAATAGCGGAGCTGCCTTCGCTGGATACCTCTTTTCCGGAAACCCCAAAACAGCTGAGTGGAGAAAACGATATTAGTGTCACTGAACCTGTGCCGTTCGACTCAGCTGAGCAGAATCAAAGCCAGCTACATGTGTCTTTGTCCAAATCCGCTTGGAGTAGTAACTCTGAAACCAGCAAGGGTTCAGGTTTGTCTCTCTCGCGAACTG